CAAGTTACTGTTTTTCTTCTCAAAACGAAAACACTTTAATATTTTAAAAATGGCAGTAGAATTTCTGGTTAATAGACACAGAAATCTGCAGGCATTAAAAACGATCTAAATGTTAAGATTATATGAACAGCATTTATGAGACTGTTAAAACTCAATACATAGGGAAAACTTTAGTGTTGGCTAAGTTTTCACTTGCATGACATTATTAAGTGCAGTTTATTTGATGTAAGGGATAATATTTTTAGTAGAACAATATATGTTTTGGCATATGCAGAAGATATTGACTGCATTGCAAGATCTGCAAAAGTACTTAGGAAATCCTTCATAGCACTGGAATCTGTCGCTAAGAAAATGAATTTGATAATCAATGAATATAAAACAAATCACAAGTATTGTGGTAAAGACAGTAATTCTAATGATATTTTTGAAATTGGAACCCATAAATTTGAATCTGTATACTATTCACCGATTTAGAATCAGAAATTAATTTATCAAAATATAAGTTCAGGTGGAAATAAAAAAGAGCATTTTAGCAGCTATTTAATTACTCTTAATTAAAGACTCTTAAAATCCCGCTTTATTAAAATAAAACTAAAGTACCACTTTACATAACACTTATAAAACCAATTTTAACACATGCTTCCAAAATATGGACCCTCCCAAGAAAAGCTGAAAATGCTCTTTTGATATTTGAACAAAGAATCCTCAGAACTACTTTTGGTGTCTGAAGAGAAAGATACAACTAGGAATTATACAAGTTATATGAAAATGATATGATAAAATTAAACAGACGAAACAGAAGGAGATGGTAAGGATGAACTCAAACAGAACTGCCTTGAAATTTTTCTGTGCCTCTGAATATAATAAAAGGTCAAGACACAGATAATAATAACAACAATAGACAAGCGTTTAGAACAAGACTTTTCTGTAATTAAAGTAAGGAACTGGAGAACAGCTGCCTGCAAAAGAGTGGAATGGAAAAATACTCTAAAAAAGGGGACTAAAGAAGGGCTGCTGTGCCACCAGTGATGGCGATCCTAGCTAAGTTTAATGTATGATTATTTGTTTCATAAATTTGATTTGAAAGTTATTTTCCAAACCACTACACGTAAATGATTCAAAAGTTCATATGGGATGACACTTTGTTCAGACACTCTCATGGTGAGGCTTTCGAGATGTTAGCAAAATTACCAATTTTTTTTTTTGGAAGCTATAGTTTTTAATTGTTAATTGCCTCTACTCTTTAGCATAGTTTTGCAAAAAAAATAGTAGTTAGAAGGTCTGTATTATATATAAGATTTACTTTGGCAGGAAAACACTCTAAGTCATAACCATTGAGCTGCTGGGCTTCCATGATGTAATACACTTCTGCACGTTGCTGAGGCATTCCTTGGAGACTTCTGTGGCTCAGAATGACTCGCTCTAAAACGGCATTCTCTTTGATGCCTGCAATTTGCTGCAACAATAATAGAAGGCAGAATTACATACATGCCAACATTGGAGAAATAAAATAACGGAGGTTTTACTAGTGACATTATTTGAGCTACTAGAGCAGTAAAGTTTTGATAGATCATACAAAATCATGAAAGTCAAAATTGGAAATAATATAAGCACTAACATTTTGCAAAATAAAAAATATGTATATAAATCTTAAGTAGATTTTTTTAAGATACTTAAAACCATTAATACTTAACACACTGCAGTATCTATTGAGGAATTAGAGAAGTATTTTTGCCATTAGCAGATATTTCATAGCCAAATTTTTATCCACAAATACAGAGACATTTGAGAATACACAGGTAAACAGGATATATTCATAAATACAGGAGTCTTCATTAAAAAAAACAGGAGACTTGGTAAGCGTGGAATTAAATATAGAAGGTAGAATTTATTATAAATGCTACCTTAACACATTCATATCAAATGTGTGAAGATAGGTCTTAAAGTAATATTGTACAAATCCAATTTTCTTGGTTCAAAACTTTACACTTTACAAGAATACCCCCAAAATAACGAACAAGTTGAAAAATATCATTTTCATGTTTTAATGTTTATGCCATGTTTGATAATATTTTTCGATACCATGTTTAAAAATATTATTTATTATTTGCATGAGAGTAGGAATGGAAAAAAAGTCTGAAAATACCTACCAATTTGAATCGTGAAATAATAAATAAAAAGGTGGGTCAAACTATTTTTCATAAAAAGTAAACATTTAAATTACTGACATATTTATTTAAAGTTTTTTTTCTTCTTCTTAATTACATAGTACATTGACAGCCCAACCAAGCTAAATATATAAAGCTATGGGGTGTTAAGCTTTATATATTAATCAAGATATAAGAGAATAAAAGAATAATAAAGTTTAGCAGCTAAGTTTCAACTTTTAAAATTCAAAAATTAGAAGAATCTTATGCCCCCTTCAACTCTAAAGTTAACTTTTAAATTAAAAACATCAGGTACATACCAAATTATAGGATAAATATTAGAATATTGAATAAATATCAAATTTTGATTTTTAAATATTAGAAACACCATGATAATTATGCTCCCTGTTTAAGTTTCTACAAATGCTATAGCTCATGCTGAAATGCGTATTTTTTGTGAATTAATCTCAGAAACACATTAATTTCAATAGACCAGAAAACTTAAAACAAAAAGAGTGTTATACTGTTC